ACCATGTTAAGAAAGTAACGGCTCCATACAAGTATCCGAGGAAGGTGAGTGCTCACATGCCCACATCATTGTCACCGCTGTAAGACAGTGTGTGTTAATGGTTACGTGGCTCAAGCCTATGCCACCGAGTTAAGTAAAAATTTATAGCTTACCTTATTTTCTATTGCAATTTCTCTGTTTCCCAATAGATGGAGTTTGTTGAACAGCTGCCAAAAACTATTAGTGGGAAGATCAGAAGAAACGAACTGCGCCAGCAGGAGTGGAGAAAAGATTAGAAGTACTTGGTGCTTTTTTATGGGATTTTTTGCAGGCTTACACAGTAACGTAAAGGTTTAGGTTTGAATATATTCTTACCTGTTTCCCAGCATTTGGCTGTCCCAGGTGCTACACTGAGAGCAGAAAACCAGGCATACCGATACACACGAAAGGGGAAACTCTTAGTCAAGAGCGCAGTAGGTGACTGGTGTTAAAGAAAGTATTTAGGCAACTGTCACCAGCATTTTATCTTTATTGTTACTTAAAGGATAAAAACCCCAGGAGTTTAAGAGAACACTATTGCTTCAAGAACCCCTTGTGAGAAGTGTGACAACTTCTAAATACATTTTTTAAAGTTAATTATAATCATTACAAGTCTATTTAGAAAAAAGTGTAAATAAAATCTCTCATTAAAATGTTATTTGACTGGACTAGTAAAGAATCTAAAACACATGGTGATGCAGAAAGTTAAGATCTGTAGCAACAGCTGCTCATACTTTAACACTTAATAGTTTTGCCTGTTCTCTCACACTTCATTAATGAGATACTTCATGATATACTGATATTTTTGTATGCTTGAGCAATTTCCATTTCTCTCCATGGTAACCAAGCAGTGTCATTTTTGTCCTGTTCTCAGAGCACGTATCTGGCATCGTTTGACTGGTTATATTAGGCATGTTCAACTTACTGAGTTTAAGATTTGGACAAAAAAAAAAGTCCAATTTTCAAGTTCTCATAGAGGGTCTAAGACACAAATATTTTTTGTAGGAAGAATTTCCTACATGACCAGCGTAAGTTCCAAGAGAGGCCAAAGCACCTGCATTCACGTTGAGACCATGGGAGTTCTCTTTCAGAAGCACATGTTCCCACTTGAAGTACCCACAACCTTTCTTGCTATCTTCGCGCTTGCCCACGGGACAACAAAAAAATGCTTTGCCGTGATTTGGACCAGCATTTGACACACAGAGTTTTTTAGCTCTTCGGCCGCAGTTACACAGAGGGGGAGTTGGGTTTCCATCTTTCACAGCTCTTCCAGGCCGATTCAAATTGACTGTGGAGCTCAGAATGGCAGGAGACATGCTGCACAGATTTGAACTTCCTGAAGGCAAGGAACGATCAGAAGATGTCATGTTCTCTTGATGTATAGCAAAAGACTGTTTTTTTGCTGGTGGGAACATTTTGGGACTAGTTGGTTTTCTTTTAGGACCCTCTGACAGAGGAGAATCATTTCCAGTTAATGCCGATTGTGCTGAAATAGCACTTACCTTTGCAGATGGTAACTTAAAAGCTGACAAAATTGAAGTCTGCCTTTGTGCTGTTCCTGCATTACAGACAGTGGTATCAGGGCTTTTGTAAGCGATAGATTTCAGTGGTCCCACAGGCACTGTGGTTTCCTCCACACTTCGATTACCTGAACTCACCACAGCTGACTGTTTCAAAGCAGTTTTCTCTTCCAGCACTGTGAACGTGTTTGCCCTTGAGCCGCCTCTGAACTGAATGCAGTCGGGATTTTGTTCATATTGAGATTCTGGTATTAGAGCAACATCTTCCCAGTCAGTTAGCAGAGAGAAGCAATCAGAACTAGTGCTGACATCCTCACTGGAGGTAACAACTGAGGAGATGGTGGTGGAGACAAGCACTAGTCCCGCTCCGTGTACTGGAGGGCTGTATCTGGTGGTACTCGGAGGTTGCCCGTTGTTCAATCCTTGCTGCATGCCTGTTGACACAGTACTGCCAGATTGCTGTGCCTGCTCAAGAGGAACAGGAAATCTGCCAGCGGATGCTGGTTTTGAGCTGTGGGCTCGAGCAGGTAATGCCGTCCTTGAGCTGCTGCTCGGTACAACGCGGACTTCTGCAGAGGAATCAGTGCACGGGGTCTGTCCGTCTGCAGTTTGTGCATTAGAATTTATCTTAATTCCAGCAATACTGATGTGGTTTTCCTCAGCCAGAGAGCCTGTTTTGCAAGTTCCATCTCTAGATGTTTCAGGCCTGCTGTTACTTCCCAGTGGAGTCTTGTCAGTGAAGTTTATATTCGGTGTTCTGGAAATCAAATTCCCCTTTGGCTGAGCCCAGGGAGTCCAGAAACAAAAGGAGATTTTAGAAAGTGAATACCCAGAAGTTTTAGGAATCGATGCACAAAATTAATAAGCGTATCAGCCTAGGGATGTTCTTTTCAATTCCTAGCCATGATGCTGGGTCTGTTACCCGAATAGCTCACCTTTCATCTGTGTTCTAGGCTACAAAGCAAGTAGAAGGGAAGATACGAAGTAGGTACTAACCTTATGCAAAGATTTAGTAATCTTCAGCACACATCCATCACAAATCAGCCTCCAGGCAAGACGGGCAGTATTCCGAGAATCATCCAAACCTTCGAAAGTACGGTTATATTAATGTCCTATTTTATGAACCACTACTGGGGATAGTTCTTATAAGCCGTATGTAAACGACGGGGATTCACAGAACTGACACGTAGTTATCTAGTTCAAAGAAGGGAAGCAGAAGTAAAAAAATGCCCAACAAATTCCCTGCACTGAAACATCTCAAGGACCAATCCCTAGAGCTGAACATATGTCCACAGATCTTAAAATCCTTGCTCTGTTTTACTGGTCGTGTAAAACAAACCCCAACCTACACCACACAAACCAAACCGCACCATATTGTGCTGGTATTCTCTTACACTAATGTGCTCTCCAGACCTAGCAGGTAAAATCAAGTTTTCTTATCCTTCCTCTGCCTCTTTTTCTTTTGTGTGCCCTAGCAATTCAGAGATTAATCCTGTTGAACATGCACGCTGTAGCACTAGGAGAGATTCAGAAATAATGCATGAGCTCAGAAATAACAAACTCTGGCCTCTGAAGCCTTTCTGGGTTTGATGTTTCTGTTGGACAGGACATTGCATAACCTGGAAATAACAGTTACCGTTTAGAGTAATGACTAGCTATTACGTATTATTATTAGGTTAAGTTTAGCTAACTAAAGCTAAATAGTAGCTATTTAGCTTTATTAAAAAAATATATATATTAAAATGAGGATCATCATATCACACTTACCAGAATGTTCCCGTCCTGCAAAAGCTATCCCCAAATCCTGCAAAGCACCACTTAGCCCTTTAGGCTTCCTATTATAGAAGGCCTAAGGAAAAAAAAATGCAGCTGTTTAACATAAAGCATTTCAAAACCTCTTCACGGCGACGTGAAATCAGAAATATCATTTCAGAAATATCACCTTATGAATAATAAATCTTACAGTGCAGTCGTGCAGGTTCAGGTATCATCACTGTACAGCTGGGATAAACCAGCCTAAGTAAGTGACTTTCCATTCCAATTCATTACGGGGTACAAATCCCTTCTCTCAGCCTTCAACTAGTCCCTTCTCTCTCAGCTCTGAAGTCATTCATTTACACTTTGTGGCTTACATCAATTAAGGCCTTAACAGCCCAGCACTGACGAATACAACTATAAATCATATTCTGAGATGTTTAAACTGTTGCATATTGCAAAGGCACGGCCATTAATTTATTTGGCATAGGTATAATAAATTATTTTTAAATGAGAAAACGCGAATATTGTTACTCGCTCCCAGGATCTCATTTGATCACAAGAAAGGGGGAATATTGACACTGTTTATCTTTAGAGACCTAATTTGCTACCTAGGTTAAGAGCCAGAGCTCGAGGTGTCACAACAGACTCCTGGGTCACCCTCTGAAAGTTTCCTGGACGGTACACTTGGGTGCTGTGAGGCCCCAGGTGAGAACTCTGGTGCAGCGTACACTGTGTAATAAAATACACATTCATGTTTTTCACTGTTATTTATGCTGTTCAGAATGTACTTTCTGGTCCAAGTACAGTTCACATGCCAGACCTCTAAGTACCTCTAAACAGGTGGTGATGACTATTTTATATGCAGCAATGTAAGGCAGCAGTAAGAGCACACAAAACGAGGGCAATTAGGAAGCAAGCAGAGCAAAAGATGTCAGGAAAGGAAAGGCACCTTGAAAAAAAATCCTGGCATTATTGCTCATTTGCCAGTACTAACACCAGGTTGTTTTTCTAGCATTAAGATTTCCATTAAAAAGCACACAGTTGTAGGGCATGCAGTGTGCTATTGAGCGGTAACAACAGGGACAGAAAACAAGTGGGTTACTCTAGTCACTGGCACATACAATATTAGCCTTTAACCTCAGACACAGTTAGCTTTTGAGGTGATAATGTGGGTATCAGTGTTTCACGTTCTCACCCTGTATGTTGCCTTGAGATCAATCCAGGAATTTAAAATGTCAGGTTTTCGCAGCTGCTTCCTTTTACACTCATACTGCAAACACACCCCCAAGTCCCAGTCTGCACAGAAAAAACAAACCCACAAGTAATCCATCACTAAAGAACTGGCCTGAACTTGACTGAAATGTGGCTTAAAATCTCCATACAGGGGCGTACCATCCACAGGGTGCCATCAACACGCTTTCTGCAAGGCAGAAAGCGGAGGCTAAGAAGCTCCGTTAGCACAGGCTAACAAAGTCCTTGTGCATGAAGAGCACCGGGGTTGATGCAGCGGGAGGTGAGGGTAAGTGAATGCCTGTCGTTAGCGCAGAAGGACTTCACGGTGGGGAAAGACCCTACAGACTTCATTAAATCAGTGAGACAATCGCACGAGCACCACCCAATGCTCAATTTTGATGTGTATGATTCTGCAGAAAAAGCGAATGAAAGTTTTATTTACCTGTCCAGGTCACAAAGGTACATGGGTTTGCCTCTGAAGTAGAAGGACTTGAAATATCTGAACTGAATATAATTTTCTTCTCGTTTTGTATCTTTTGAATCCATTTCAAAAACTGTGATAAACAGATGTTCAGAGGGACCCCTTCATCAACTTGATTCTTTGTGAGACAGAACAAGAAGTAGGCGTCAGCATGCCCCGAAATTCAGGGGTAGGTGTTTCTCTTCCCAGGCACGCTCAGGAAAGGCAAAGCGCAATCGTGCGGGTGTAAGACACCACCGCACAGCAACTGTACCTGTGTTATGCCAGTCAGCTCTGTGCAAAATTCCGAGAGGACAGGATGCTCCTGGGGCTGGACGTACGCGTGGAATTCAGCGTCGATCTCTCCCGTTGACGCGTTCAACAGGACTGCCGGGAATTCGACTGCGACACAAGCGGACCCAACGGCGGGGGCAGGCGGTCAAGGCTGTTCACCGGCCTTACCCCGCTCGCTCCCGGCTGCGCCCGCAAGCAGCAGCTGGAGGGGCATCGCG